TAACCTTGTATAGTACTATAAATATACAAAAGAAACTTGGTATATTACAAATACTTGAGATTCGTGAAACTTAAATCGAAAAAATGTGAAACTAAAAGAAATGTAGCAAAATTTACCTTAGGTGGGTTGCGTAGTAAGTATAGCATGGACCTGCAGCTGACGAGAAAAGCATTTTCATTATAGCTAACAGAGTTCTTTTCTCCCTCGACTTTTCCAAGCTGAGTATCATAACCGGCCTCATTAAAGTAAGGCTTTTCATTAAGCACGAGAGCTTGAATAGAAAGGAGGATTTGAAGTATTGTAGATGACTTTGGGTTCCACGCTTCACTTTGAGATCCTTTCCATGTGTTCAGTAAGCTGAGGCAGATTTTTCCCGACTCGTATAAATTAGGATTAATACGAAGACCACCTGAATGGTAGTGCACAATCTTCCGAAAAAAAGAAAAAAAAAAATCTCGTATGAATTCAAATTATCGTTTAACATAACTAATTCACCGTGAATATTTTGTAGCATTAGTTGAGTGTAAAAGGAATTCACATATTTTAGATAGAATAAGAAATCTTTATCTCTCTATTTCAAATTTTCAATATTTGATTAAGCTATGCACAGATTTACAATCAAAAGCAAGAGGTGAATTTCAAAATGTTCTATTTCGGCTAACATTTTAACTATTTACAACTGAGTGAGATGTAAAAGAACCAACCTTTAATAATTACAAAAAAAATGATGATATAATTACTTACCGGTGGTTCGTTGGGATATTGTGGTGGAAGATAAATATCGAAAAAGAACAACCCGTCGTGATACGGAGTGCCAGCAGTGCCTACAATTGCAGCTCGAAGCAAATCCATTCTTTCTTCATATACGCGCACGTAAATAGTTTCTGTTTTGAATTTTGATCATAAAAATTTCATTTAACAAGTTATCAAAATAGTATAATAGCTTCAGATTTTATCCCGAATGTGTATCAAATTTCTCACCGGGAAGATCCTTCTCCAAAATGCTCCATTCTTGGTGAACCTTCCTCAGCCACTCTTTTTTCACCTGTACATTTAAGAAAAAAACTAAGTTACACAATAATAATACCAAAACCCCCAAAAAGAAATCGAAAAATATTTTCTTCGGACCTGAGGAGACCCGTTTTCATTAACAAAGTGGTGATTCGAGGGATCATTAACCATATCAAACTTTTTAAATGGTTCGTGATGCTTGCTGCTAGACGAAAACATAAAATCCTCGTTGGCTTCTTCTTTGGTGTGTACTGAAATTGTCTTTTCATGCATGTCTAAATTGTCTTCTCCTTCTTCTTCTTCTTCTTCTTCTTCTTCTTCTTCTTCATCAGGGTTTCTTTTGTTACCGTTCAATTTTTGAGATGCACATTTATATCCACCAATCAGAGATAAAGTGCCAATTGACCCGAACAATCTTGACGTGATAGTGTTTAAAATCCCTATAGCAGCTCGAGAAATAGTGTTCAAGCCCGCATCTTCCGGGTTATCATGCAAATCCTGCATAAATATATAGTCTTTAAGGCCTATTGGGATTTGAAAAAATGAAATATCAATGAAAATGAAGAGACTTAATGCACCTTCAGTTCCTCGTTTGATGGTTCAACATTTTCAATATTGAGCACGGTTTCGCCTTTTTCGACTCTAAAGATCTCATATGGCGCAACCTGTAACGAATGCTAGTACTCAGCACAACAAAAATCGAACCACGAGCATGTTTTTCATATAAATTAAATAGAAAAATCGAGTCTCATAAAGACTTTAAAGCTGAAAAAATAAATAAAAATAGACAAAAGAAAGCAGAACAGATGAAAAAAAAATACCTTACTTATAGCCCCAGTGCCCCATTTCACTTCAACACACCCATTTTCAAACCCGATCACAGTCCCAAAACAAGTCAAGAATTTGTTACCCATAATTCCCTCAGTCTGATTTTCACTATTTTCCATGTTTTTCTCATCAATAATCCTAAAAACCACTTCCCCAAGCCCAAACGTGTAGTCCGAGTGCTCGACCAGCTCATAAGCACTCACAATGATCTCCTCTTCTTCTCGCTCAGAATCGAGAGAGGATGATTCAAGTTCAACCCATTTAACCTTCACCGTTCGTTCCTTCGAGTCCACACTCTTTACAACACCCCATTTCTCAAAGCCCGAAGCCCGATTAAAATCGTCAACTATCCCCTTTTCGAGCACAAATGAATCGGGCCAGAAATCGTGCGCATCCAAAACGCTAACCGGTAAAACCGAATCTGAATCCAACGCACGGGATTCACTCCCGTCCTGCCACCGGACATCAATCCTAGTCCTTGTCTTAACAACAACAGCCACTTGCGAAAAACTAGGTTGTTCTTCTCCGTGGGCCCCACGGCCTTTCTTCAGCCGATCATTGTGAACACACCAATCTCCGAGCTGCCAGTTCGCATGCGGGAGAAAACACGGCAGCACAGATAAATCCCTCGAGTCCATCGGGCCCTGTGGCGGGCCCGGGCCCACTTTCGGACCCATGCAGCTGACGAGCCAATCGACATGCACAAGCCCAGCGTCCACTCTGCAGACCGTGCCGTGCTTGTTTTTGTCATCTTTTCCAATACCACACCACCGGGCTGACCTGGACACGGGTAACTCGACCCAAACACTCTGCCCGGGGTAAAACGGTAAATTTGGGTCCTCCTCGAGTAGATTATCCGGTGAATATGTAGCTGTAATAATTTTATCAGGCCCGTCTGCGGATAATTCACACGTTTGACCATCATCGAAGATGAGGGTCAAACGGTCAATGATTTTTTCGACTCTCCCGAGCCACGGCCCGTTCACGACGTGATCTCCGATCGAGACGGAGCGTATTTTTCGAAGGGATTTGGAGTTCACGTTTTGCGACTTGATTGATCCATACAAGTTTTCTAAGTCGACTTTCATTTCGACGTTAACTATTTTACCCATTTGGCCTAACGGGTCGGAGACTAGACGAACTATGTCCCCGTGCGAGAAGCTTCTCTCGAAAATGAGGAAATCGTCGATTTTCTCGATGGTTTCCTCGAGGCTCGAGAAAATGGTGTGGGCTCGACCGCTGTACAGAGACTCGATGTCCTCTTGATCATCCGAGCTGCTGCTCTCGCTGTAACTGTCGAAATCGCTGAGTAACGAGTCCATAAAAGGCTGAACCTTTGGAGTAATTCAAAGAATCTGTAAGTTCAACTAATTGTCAACAGAATTATCAATAAAGTATACAAAACTACAAAAGTAGCATAAAAAGTTTTAGTAGTATATATAAGAGACTTACTTCTGAATACAACTGACTTGTAAATGAATCGAGCTCCAGTTATATAGCCTCGGCCAGATGTAAGTATGATTTTATATATATATATATATATATATAATGATATAAGTATCTCCAGAGATGGAGAAACTATGCCAAAGGAGAGTTGCCCAATAAAGGGATGACTAGAATGCCAAAGGAGATTTGCCCAAGAACAGAAGTGAAAGATTGTGAAGTAACCGAGTTCAAGCGAAAACCAACTAAAGGATGTAAAAGAAGTGTTCTAGCTAGAAGTGATTTACACAAAGTATTTCAGTAACATATCTATAACAACATAGCTAAATGGCTTGAAGAAAGGTTTTTCTTAATTCTTCATAAGTGAACTGCCAAAGAAGAGTTGCCCATGAATGCAGCTAAACTATGATTAGCTTCAATCAGTGTCGAAAAAGGGAGATAAAAATTGTTGCTTGAAGTTCTTGAGTGCAACCGAGAGCCGCTTTTGCTTCGAATAAGTATATAGATCGAGTCACAGATGATTGCAACTACGTTCAGACTGAGAGTTATGACCTGCAAGCATTTCGAATAAATCATTAAGGCCGTGAAATATAGGCGATGAACCAGAAAGTTCAGTTTTTCTTCAAAAATGATTAAAGATTACATTTTTCTCACTGTAATGTTGCCACTCATCTTTGTTTTCACTTCAGACCAGACAAGTAAACAAAAGAACTATACAAGACACTAAAGGTTTTGAAGTAAACTTTCAGTTAATACAACTTAAATAATCCCCAAATCCTCTTTTTTTCAAAGCAGCAGAAATTGAAAAACACAAAGAATAAGAAAATGAATTGAAGAAATTCAAATACAGAGTCCAAAATAAAATATATACACTCTATAATCATTCAACCCCAGAAAAATTTAATCATGCAAATAACAAGAAACACCACAATAATGTATTTACATCCATATCTTGATAAACTGAAGGGTACTATAAAGGGCACTATAAAACAACAAATAATAACAGAACTGAAAAGTCAAGATAGGCCAAAAACAGATTACATGTAAATAAAGAATACATATATACCAGATTTAAGCTGCTAGTGAAAGAATAACACCTCCATTAACAAAAAAAGATCACATCTTTAAAATCTTTTCTGATCAATAAAACCAAAGCCCACAAAAAGCAACTCCAAGCAAACAAAATCTCCCCCTTTCTCAGCCGTCGATTGCCCTTTTTGCACCAACTTTTCCGGCAACTTCTTACCGGAAAAGGAAAAGGTAAAACACACTTAAAAAGAGATAAAGCTGTGAACTTTTTTTTATGTACGCCGAGAAAACAAGAACAGAATTTTAAGTACGGAAAACTCAGATAGGCCAACAAGACGCTCTCCAAAACCCCTGCATCAGACCATTTTTGCTGCACAATAACATGGCGATAAAGGAACTGGAAAAATACACAAAATCTCCTTCGTTTTCTTGTTCTTTTTCACCTTTGAAACAGTGAGAATGTATTGCGAGGGTGTGTCGTTGGTTAAGATAATGGGAATGTGATATGATATCATATTTAGTGAGTTTCTATCTAGTTTACCATGAAAAAGAATATTCCATGGTATCTTTTACTCGTGTTATCATTATTCTGTCCGTATTAGTTTAATTTTATCCTGTAGTTTTAGTTGTGATTTGGCGGGTTGAATTCCATCTTGAAGACACTTTAGGTGAGCTTTGTCTATTGGTTTTGGTTACAAACCGGGTCAGGCGACCCTTCGGAACGGATTGTTGCCCAACCGGCCTAACCCGCTGGGTTAAGTGTGCAAATGAGTCGAAATGAGTCGAGTATGGACCTTGTCGAGTGTATATCGATTGTGCTTTTTCATTACTTGAGCTCGACTCGTGAAACAAATAGAAATGCTCGAGATCGACTCGAAGCTCGAGATCAGTTCGATGCTCTAGATCGACTTGAGTTTGGCTTGAATTTTAACAACTATAAATTATGCACGTATGATAATTTTGTGAATTACATATATATGAAGGGTATTTAAGTATTTTACCACATATTTCGAGCCACTCGTTGACCTTTGAAAATTTGGGCTAGAGATCGACTCGATAACATACTCGAGCCGCTCGAGCTCGACTCGAGTTCGAGTTAAACATTGACTCGAGTGCTTGCCAGCGGCTCGCGAGCCGCTCGACTCGTTTGCAGCCCTAAATCGAATCAACTCGGAGGGTTTTTGACAACTCATTTCAAGATCCCGTCAATTCTATTCTCTCCCCGAAGGTTTCTGATCTCATTGTGGACGTGTAGAGATAGGCACCTTCTCTATGCAATAATGATCTCGCTCTTCTTGACTGTGGAAGGTCAATCTACGCAAGTGTTTTTTTTTTTTTTTTGAATGGCACTCAAACGAATCGGGTGGATTTCTACAGTTGATTTTGTAACAATCACAAGATTAAATTGTTTGTAAACAACACGAACTTGCCGATTTTGGGTTGGACTAGAAACATAAACGGAAGATCGATATTGGAATTTCAAAAAATCGAGCTCCAAACTCGACTTGTATGGTCGGTTCAAGTTGATCACAGAGTCGCTACTCGCTAGGTAAAAAAAAAAAATTAAATTTGAATTAAAATTGACCATTGCAATCTGTGGGTCAATTCTAGTCTTGGCTGAAATCCCGGTTTTATTTTAATATCTCGTCGGTTCTGATTTGGCGGAAGGGGACTAAGCATTTTTTTTCAAATAAAAGTAGTACTAATACCCATGTACAACATGGGTGTTGAGTTAATAAATATATGTGTAAAGTTATATGTCTAATACCAAACTTAACTCTAGAGCACAAATAATATAAAAACAACATCACGAAACATAGATTTTCGCTATGTCAGCATCCGAAGCGTGAGAATCTACCATTTAGGCTCAACACGTTTTGAATTAATATATAGAGAGGGATATGACACTGATGATTTTGGTGAATTGTCGTCGTTCATCTTGTAAAGAATAGTATGAGATTAAACGGTTGATATCTAATTTGTAAACTATATTATCGATTTTGGGTGGGTTCCGAACTGGATTAAAACTAAAATTTAAAACTAAATTAAACCTAATTCCGTTATTTTACAAAGGGTTAATTGCATAAAAAAACCTCAACCTTTTATTTAATTGCAAATAAAACTCAACTTTTTGAATTTGGCAAAAAAACACCAAATTTTTATTAAGTGTTGCAATTTTGTCTCACCCGCCGGACCTCCGCCAACCGCCACCCGCTGCCGGCCAACTTCGCCGGATATTGAAAATTTTATATGATCTTGTAGCTCTCCTCCGTGCCGACAACATATTCGAGTTTCACAAAAAAATTTCTGACGATAAGGCTTTCAATTTTCCGGTCAAAGGTCGTAGATCTATAAATTTTCTACGACCTTTGACCGAAATTGGAAGCCTTATCGTCGGAATTTTTTCGTGAAACTCGGATATGTTATTGGCACGGAGGAGAGCTACAAGATCATGTAAAAATTTTTAATATCCGGCGAAGTTGGTCGGCGGCGGGTGGCGGTTGGCGGCGGTCGAGCTAAAACTGCAACACTTAATAAAAGTTTGGTATTTTTTACCAAATTAAAAAAGTTGAGTTTTATTTACAATTAAACAAAAGGTTGAGATTTTTTTATGCAATTAACCCTTTTACAAATCACAATATCCTTAAAAATAAAATATCATCATATTTAACACTCAACTTTTTTGTCCAATTTCAAATCAAATTGTTATTTTTTAAAACAAATAATAATATATATTTCTAGTAAAAAGTAAATAAAAATTTAAAATAATTTTTTTCATTACTTTTAAAAGTTTAAGAATAATTTTTTAAAACAAGATTATCCAACACGTCAACACGTGGCAGTTACAAATTATAATTCGTAAATACTGAGAACACGTGGCAGGGCCGGTGTGGGCTCTTATCCATGCACTCGAGTAAAGGGTCACGGACTCACCGCGTTAGCCCACTGGATCTCAAATGGTCGCAATACTGTTGAGTATTGGATCAATGCAAAAAGTAGACAGCCCATTGTGGGCCTCATGTGCAAATTTTTAAGTGCATCTCTACCCAATAATTATCTGTTAAAAAAAAGATATATATTCTTGAGGAAATTAACCCTCATACGCATCCCACAACTTGTAAGTTGGCAATTTCACTTGTAAGTTTTAAAATATCATATTTTAATTAAAATATTCATAGTGTAACTGCTAAACATAAAAATAGTTTTACTGCACAAATAATTACGTACACTATATAATAATGTTTAAGGGAACTACTACAGTCCCGTTGACGGAATGGTTCCGTCAGTATTGGTTACTGTAGATTATCCACACAAGATAATCTATATGCTCATCCAACGGTTAAAAACACTGACGGTACCATTCCGTAACGGGACCTTAGAATTTTCCAATGTTTAAAGATAAAATATTTGTATGTTAAAACAAAATTATGCTTTATCTTATGACTATTTATTTGATTAATTATTCAACAATCGTCACTAATAAATAAGTAAACAAAACAAGGAAGAAAGATCATTAATTATCAACTCCACTATTTCAAAGCTACTCTAATTAAAGTACATTTTATATTTTTTTTCAAAATGTGTTCGACGAATAATCGAGCCGAGATGAAAGATGAAAATTAAAAGACTACTCACATATTTTCTTTTAAACGATTTAGTGATATATGAAGTAAGGAAAAAGCTACAAACCCGTCACGAAATGATTGTATGAGGGTTTTTAGCCATTATATAAACACGTAACTTCTACGTATCTACAATAACTGTATATTTAGTGACTAAAAATCCTCACGGAATCATTCAGTAATACAACACATACTTGTGTTCTTATTGAACCAAATAAATTAAAGTA